TGGACCAAATGGCTTCATAGGCAAATTTAACCAGTTATTCAAAGAAAACTTAACACCTGTTCTCAAACTATTCCAAAAATTTTAAGAAACGGGAAGGCTCCCTAATTCTTTTTGTGAGGCTACCATTACCTTGATTCCAAAAGCAGACAAAGACATTAAAAAACAAAACAAAACAAAACATAGGCTGATAACCTTGTTAAACATTGATGCAAAAATCCTCAACAAAATATTAGCAAACCAAATTAAGCAATACATTAAAAATATCATATACCATGATCAAGTTGTATTTATTCCTGGGATGCAAGGTTGGTACAATATCTACAAATCAATTAATGTGTTATACCATATTTACAAATTGAAAGATAAAAATTATACTATCATATTAATAGATGAAAAAAAGCCTTTGCAAATTTTCAGCATCCATTTATAATAAAAACTCTCAGCAAAGTGGGAATATGGGACCATACCTCAACATAATAAAGGCTATATATGATAAACTTACAGCTAACATCATACTCAATTGGAAAAGGTTAAAAGCATTTTCCTTAAGATCAGGAACAAGACTTTCACCATTTCTGTTCAACATTGTATTGGAATTCCTAGCTACAGCAATCAGACAAGATAAAGGCAAAAGGTATATAGGTTGGAAAGGAAGAAGTAAAATTGTCATTATTTGCAGATGACATGATACTATATAGAGATAACCCTAAAGATTCCACAAAAAAAATTACTAGAACTGATCAAAGAATTCAGTAAAGTAGCCGGATACAAAATTAATATTGAGAAGATGATTGCATTTTTGTATACCAATGATGAACTTTAAGAAAGAGAAATTAAGAAAACATTCCCATTTACAACTGCATCAAAAACCATAAAATACCTAGGAATCAAATTAACCAAAGAGGTAAAAGACCTGTTCTCAGAAAACTATAAGTCATTGAAAAAAGAAATTGAAGAAAATAAAAATAAATTGAAGCATAAGAAGAACAAAGTTGGAGGTATCACACTACCTGATATCAAACTATACTACAAGTTTGCAGTAATCCAAACAGATGATACTGGCATAAAAACAGATATATTAATCAATGGAACAGAATAGAGAGTCCAGAAATAAATCCACGTCTATACGCTCACTTAATATATGACAAAGGAGGCAAGAATATACAGTTTCTTCAATAAATGGTGCTGGGAAAATTGGACAGATACATGCAAAAAATGAAACTGGTCCACCTTCTTACACCATATACAAGAATAGACTCAAAATTTATTAAAGACTTAAACCCCAAATCATAAAACTTCTAGAAGAAAACATAGGCAGAAAACTCTGATTATTGTTACTAGTACTTTCTTTTTGCATATATCTCCTTGGGCAAGGTAAACAAAAGAAAAAAATAAACATTTCTACATCAAACTAAAAAGATTTTGCACAGTAATGGAAACCATCAACAAAATGAAAAGGGAACCTAAATAGGAGAAGATATTCGCTAATGATACATCTGATAAGAGGTTAATATCCACAATATACAAGAGCTCATACAACTCAAAAACAATAAAAACAAACCAATTAAAAAATGAGCAGAAATTCTGAATAGATATTTCTCCAAAGAGGAAATACAAATGGCAACAGATGTATTAAAATATGCTCAAGGTCACTAATCATCAGGGAAATGCAAATGAAAACCACAATGAGATATCACCTCACACCTGTCAGAATGGCCATGGTTAATAAATCAAAAAATGACAAATGTTGTGAAGATGTGGAGAGAAGGGAACTCTCCTACACTGTTGGCGGAATTGCAAATTGGTGCAGCCATTATGGAAAACAGTCTGGAGGTTCCTTCCTCAAAAAATTAAAAATATATCCACCTTCTAACCCAGTAATTGTACTCCCGGTATTTGTCCAAAGAAAACCAAAACAATTCATAAAGATCTAGGCATCTCTATGTTCATGACAGCTCAATTTACAATAGCCAAGATATGGAAGCAACATAATCACCCTTCTACAGACAATTGGATAAAGTAGTTATGCTTCATATATACAATGGACTATTACTTAACCATACAAAAAAATTAAATTCTAACATTTGCAACGACATGGATGGACACAGAGGTTATTATGCTGAGCAAAATAAATCAGAGAAAAATAAATAAGTCAGAGAAAGATAAATATCTCATATAAATTTCACTTATATGAGGATTCTAAGGGACAAAAAGGACAAACTAATAGAAAACAAACTCACAAATACAGAGGACAACCTGGTGATGCCCAGAGGGGAGAGGAGTTGGGGAGCTGGGTTAAAGGAGTGAAGGGTTAAGGTAGTACAAATTAGTAGTTGATAGGTCATGGGCTGAGGAACAAGGCATAGGGAATGTAGTCAGCAATAATATAATGGCTATGTTTAGAGCCAGAGGGGTGATAGAGTAATGGGGACTTGTTTCATAAATTATGTAAAGGTCTAACCAATGTATTGTATACTTGAAACTAATAGTAAAATAAAATAAAATGCTAAAAAAAGTTGATTGATCATATATGAGTGCATCTATTCTTAGGGATGCAATTCTATTCCAGTGATCTATACAACAATTTGGATGTTTTGAGATATAGACATATAACATTATTTTAGTTTTAGGTGTACAGCATAATAATTCAACATTTGTATATATTGTATAATGATCACCACAGTAAGTCTAGTTAATATCCATCACCATAGTTTTTATTTTTTATTTTATTTATTTTTTTTTACCAAAAAAAATCAGTTATTTTCTCCTGCTGTCTCGTCTTATGTAGCTTCACAGCAAGTCTTGAAAGCAGGTAGCATAAGTCCTTCAAATTCATTCTTTTTCAAAACATTTTTGGCTATTATAGGTGATTTGTATGTCTATATAAATTTTTAGATTTTTAGGGGATTTTTTAGTTTTGTCAAGAAGAAAAATTTAATTGTGGTTATCCTATAAACTTATCTCATCATAATGAATTATTTTTTCTTTTTATTGTATCTACGTGAGTTGATGGATGTTAACTAAATATATTGTGATAATCATTTCACAATATATGTAAATAAAAATATCATACCGTACACCTTATACATTGATGTATGCCAATTGTTTCTCAGTAAACAAAAAAAAAAAATCAGTTTTCCAAGTACTGTTAGAAAGTAAAAACAAACAGAAACCCTGCTAGCATTTTGTTTAGTATTGTATTTAATCTGTAGATCAATTTTGGGAAAACTGACATTTCAGTTCCATGACCATCTATTTATCTATTTAGGTTTTCTGTAATTTTTCCTAGCATTGTTTCTAGTTTTCGTTGTGTAGATCTTGACCTTATTTAAAAAAAAAAATGGTTTCTAAGTTTTCAATTTTTGTTACTATTATAAAGGGTATTTTTACTTCAATTTTTTAAAGTTTGTTGCTCTGATATAGAAATACAATTGATTTTTGTATATCAGCTTTGAATCCTGACACATTACTGAATTCACTAATTCATTCTAGTATTTTCTTTATAGATTCTTTAGGAATTTTTATATACACAATCATGTAATTTCTGAATAAAGACAGTTTTATTTCTTCTCCTTCAATCTGCATACTTTCTTTTTCCTTTTCTTGTCTTATTATACTGACTAGAACCTCCGATACAGTGTTAACTAGAGATTGTGAAAGCAGGCATCTTTTTTGTACCTGATCTTAGGGGCAGACATTCAGTATTTCATCATTGAGAAGGATATTAGCTTAGGTTTTTCATGGTTGCCCTTTAGCCCACTGAGGAAGTTTCTTTCTATTCTTAGTTTGCTGGTGGCTTTTATTGTAATTTTTTTTCAAATGCTTATTATGTATCTATTGAAATAATTATATGATTTTCCTCCTTTAATCTGTTAATATGGTGAAGTGCATGGATAAATCTCTCCTAAGCATGGTGTATCAACCTTTTAATGTACTATTTTGCATGTTTTTTTTAATTAGATTGCTTTTCTTTTAAGTTCTAGGACTTTTATATGTCAGTAAGCTCTGTATTAAATATATGTTTCTTTCTAATTTCTCTTAATCTGTGTAGCATGCCTATGTGTAATTTTTAAATAATATTTTTTTAAGTCCATGTGTAATAACTCAATCTTGATTTTTTTTTGTCTATTAATTTCTATTATTTCTCTTAGGTTTTGTTCACACATCAGGTAATTTTTGTATGAGTACTCAACAGTGTATAAGAACAATTGTGGAGGTTTGTAAAACTTGGAAATAATTTCAGACTTACAGAAAACTTGAAAAATAAGAACAGTACAAAGAACACTCATATACCATTTACCTAGATTCACCTATTGTTAACATCTCACTGCTTTTACTTTATAATTTGAATATGCTCTCCCTCTCTCTCCTTACTCTCTCATCATTTCCTCTCTTTATATGCATATTTATACATATATACACATGCACATATATTTTTTATTCAGTCATTTGTGTTTAACTTGTATACATCACGACCTCTTTACCCCTAAGTACAAGGTATATTTTCTAAGGAATATTCTCTGGAGACAATTTGAGGCTCTGGATGATGTGATTCTTTTAAACTGAAATTTGTTGTATTTTTCTAACTTTACTAGCTATTCTCATTGGTAAGATTTATCTAAAACAACTTAGTCTAACATTGCCAGAAGTAGAACCTCTGACCTATCTCTTTTTATGATCCAGCACCAGAGTTTTATTGTCATAATGTGTTTTACAATTGTGAGGGCCAGTCTCCCCTCATTATCCTTCTTTTATAGAATTTCCTTACGATTCCTACTTATTTATTTTTTCTTTCTGAATTTTTATAGTTTGTCTAGTTCTCAAATAATTTCTTTATTTTTATTATTAAATTATGAATCGCTTTAGGAAAGATTGATATTATTATCATTTTAATATTCCTACATAAGAACAAGGTCTGGTCTGTTTTTCCATTTCTCCAAAACTTCTTTTGGAGTCCACAGTAGCCTTTCACTTTCTCTTCATTTTTCCTCTGCTCACAGCAAGATGGATTCTGGATATACTCTGAGTACTGTAACAACCACCTGGACGCCTGCATGGAACTCTCCAAACTGATGAAAGACAGCCGTTATCAGCACTTCTTTGAGGCCTGTCGCCTCTTGCAGCAGATGATTGACATTGCTATTGATGGTTTCCTTTTGACTCCAGTCCAGAAGATCTGCAAATATCCCTTACAGTTGGCTGAGCTCCTCAAGTATACCGCTCAGGACCATAGGTAAAGGATTAAGGGGAAAAGGAGTATGGAAGAGAGCCTCCTCTATATTAGTCCTTACTGAGAACATATGTCCTTTTGCCTTTCCTGAGCTTTTGGTAGCTTATCTGCACAATGGTATGATGACATGTTCTTGATTACCTCTTAAGGCCATTATGTGCGTAAAGTGAGGGAATGCCTGCGAGAGTTGCTTATAAAGTTATAAATCAGTATGCATACAAAATCAGTATACCTCATCATTATTGTACAAGTTAGACCCTGACTTCAGCTAGCTTATAGCCTGGTTCTTAGTCCTGAGTTTAGCTAAGCAAATCATCCTAGATGAAATAATTGTTCACTGTTTATTCTACTGTGCTTGATAGATTCAAATATCCTGGTAACAGCCTGCCCAACCGTACTGACCTTTGATTTCTTCTGTAAGGCTACATCCCTGGTCTTCTTTAGTCTTTTCTACCCTGTTCTGCCTAATTCCAACTGTACTTTCCCCTTAGACCCAGAGCATGACTAGGGGAAAATAGACTTGAGACTTGCCCTGAGGTTCTTTTAAAGTTTTTCAGTATTTTCAAGAAAACCAACTCAAAATGAACCAAGGAGATTATCTCTCTCAAAATGGAAATGATACCCCTAACCCCCTACCATTAAGATATATGCTAGGAGTCATCTCCAACAATGAGGATGGTCTACAGTGAATCATTCTCCTTCTTTCACATGCTTTACTTCATGGTCTAGAGTCCCTAGCCTGTTTTTAGCTGGCTTTTAATTGGTATTAATTAAATCCCCGACCTTAGATTTGTTGCCCCAGCTCTCAGCTTTCTTCCCGATTGAGCACTCCAAGAAGAAAGAAGGCTGTTGCCCAATTTTCTTTAGCTTTCTTTCTGATTCTTATTAGGCCTGCTTCCTACTTTCATTTGGCTCCATTGCCTCGTTTCCTTGGAGCCGACTTCTAGACCTAGTTGCATAAGGACACGTGTGGGCCAGTTGATTTTGATTATGTCACACTTCATTTTTAAGTTAATGTTTCTTTAGCAAATCATGACTCATGTGCTTCAGTGGTTCCGGTGCCTTGGACAGATTTCAGATATGAATCCAAATGTGGTGGCACTGGACTATCCCTTTGTGTGAGTAGTGATAGTTCTGACTTCCATGCTCTGTTGGCTGTGAGGGAGGCAGGTAGAGAAGGATTTTGCAAGGGAGGATTCTTCTTTCCCCTCCCTGAGTCTTTTTGCTAGCTGGGAGTTGGAGGTGGGGAGGGAATACTCATTAGACATGAAATTTGGAGGTAACTAAGTCTCACTTGGAAAGATTTAATTCAGCCCATTGCCAGAACTGAGTTTCAAATTTTTTAAGGATACAGTTTCTTGTGAGAGCTAATAGGACACTGAAGAACCCCCGCTAAAATTAAGATATTTTAAAAATAAAAATGGAAAATATTTATGGCACCTAAAATGGAAAGACCCTTTAAGGAAGGTCTTCTAGTCAGATTTCCTCCTTCTATGGCTGGAATGACTGAGGCTCATACAGAGAAAAACAACAAAGAACAAGTCTGTGGCAAAACAGGGATACAAATTATGGACAGTAGTCTGGGAACCCTCTAGGTGATTTTTATGCCCAGGAAGGTTTGTGAGCCATAATATTAGCCACTCTAGAAAATGTCTTCTAGTTCTGCCAGCCCATGGTGTCATGAACCTAAATGACCTCCACAGTTACACTTCATGGTGCTAAGTGACCAGAAGCAGCCACTGTTGTACCTAAATCTCAGTGGAGAAGCCTTCAGACCAATAGTTTTAAAACCAGGATATTCCAAGAGTGATTCTCAAATGATTTTATATCACAGCTTATCTCCCACCTACTCCTGAATATCTATTCCACGGAACCTAGAAGGAGGCTCTTAAAATCATACTTGGGGCCTGATGTTATCGACTAAGTAAAATTATATATTGCATAAGTGCTTTTTCTGGGCTTTTAAGAGCACAGAAAGACTATCTTTAAAGCATAACCAAGGGCTGTTTTAGTTTCTTAGGTCAGAGCAACCCCAGGGCCTTTTTGAGTTTAGTGGGAGCCAGTAAGATAGGACATCTGCTTGGTACTTGCCATTCCTGTGCTCTTTTGCCTTGTGACAGGAACCCCTGCCTCAAGGCCTTCTTCTCCATCTCCTTCTACCTCCTGGGCTCGAGAGTGTTGAGAGAATGGCTCAGGCAGTGGCAGGCTACATCAATCCCTATCCTCCTTCAGCAAGACCTGTTGGTCCCAGCACTACTCCCAGGGCATAGGCCACCCCTTTTGGCAGGTTTCAGGAAGGTGAATCAAAATGAATCCTCCTGTAATGTGTGTCAGAGTAGCTTGTATTTGAAGGCTGCTGCCAACTTAAAGGTCTAGTCAGATGGATGTTCAGATAGTTAGGTCTGAAATGCAGGCAGTTAGAATGGCCTCTGAATTAGAAGATTAGATGGACAGAGAGTGATAAATGGAGAATAATACTACCTTTATTTACAAAAGGGTTGCATGTCTCCACCCTACCCCTCAACCTTCCTTAAGCTGACAAGAATGAAGATGGTGTGCAAGAGAGAGTTTAGCTGACACGTCTGGAATAATACAATCTTGGTTCAGTCAGTCTCCTTATTAGAGGGCTGGACCCAGACCTCATCTGGAGACCCAGAAAGTCTGAGCAAGGTTCAGGCTGTACCACAGCTATTCACTTCTTCTCTTACCCACTCCTGAAGCTAGTGGGAGCCAGCTAAAAATGTCAAGGGTAGACTGACATTATGGAACAGTAGCAGTGATGAATCCATGGCTGAGTCAGGCATTAGGTAATAAGCATTCTCATGCCAGTGCTGTCCAATAGAATTCTCTACAATGATGTAAAGGTTCTAAATTTGTGCTGCCCAATATAGTAACCACTGGCCATATATGATTATTGAGTACTGAGAAATGTAGCTGGTGCAACTAAGGAACTAAATTTTTAATTTTATTTCATTTTAATTTAACGTGGCTAGTGGCTACCATATTAGACAGTGTAGCTCTATGTTTGACCTCCCAGAAAGTTCCTTAAAGGCATTTTCCTGATAACCTCAAATCAGAGATTAAGGGCATGGGAGACAGAAATTGGACCCAAAGAACAGGCATACTCATTTATGTCAGCAGCTTCTACACCACCTCTTCTGTCATCACCTGCTTCTAAATGGCAGGCTCAGTAATGCTAGGGAGAAACTGATAATGTTACAGAGCCCAATAGCTCCCCCATATGCTAGTGCAAGTAACTGTAAAAGGATGAAATGTAACATGAACAAATGTAAAGTTTTGTAGTTCTGTCTAAGAAATCAACAGTTCAAATACAGACTGAGAGAGATGCAGCTTCCTGACAGCATATTTTAAAGAGACCTAGGAAGCATAGTCAACCATAAGTTCACTATGAATCAGCAGCAGGGTCCAGAAGAAAAACTGATAATAGCTAACATTCATAAAGGTTCAGGATAAAGAAGAGTTTTCTTTTTTTTTTTTTTTTTTTTTTTTTTTTAATGGAATTGTCTTGAGACAGAGTAGACTGGTTAGGAGGTTTAGTAAGCATCCTGTCACTGGAGGTGATAAAATGCAGTAGTGTTTGAAGACTCTGATCTGGTAGGCATGCAGAAAACAGACCGGAGCTAGTAAGACCAGCTAAGAAGCAGTGCTACATGGCATCTGCCCTGGCAGTTAGAACTTCCTTCCCTGTGCCTCTGTTTGGTCTACTACCCCACACTTCAACATATTAGGAAAGAAAAAGACAGTTACTGTGAATCTTTTTTCCCCCTCTCTTCTTTCTAATTGGTGCTGGGACAGTGAGCAGGTTAGTGACCACAAACCATCTTCAACTTCTCTAAGGAAAGGCTAGTTAAGACTGAACTCATCCTCCTGCCTTCTCAGTTTATTGTAGCTCCACTAAATGTGTGGGATCTTACTTTCAATCTTCCTTTAACAGGAGCCACTCAATGGAAATCAGATTAGACAAGCACAGAAAACTGTGCAGGGTGGTATAACCAACAAGTGGGCCATCCATAGACCTAGGAAGCTGTGCCTAGGGTTGTACTTCTGGGACCAGGTTTTAAGAGGCAATCCTTGTGAAATCTATACTAGAGAGATGTTTGATTTGTATTAATAATAATGTTAACATTTACTGTGAGCCAATAGTAAAATAGTCTACATGGATAATTAAACCCTCAACAAATCCTACTGCGATTCTCCCCATTTTATGGGAAACTGGGGAAACTAAGCCACTGAGAGGGTGAATGAGACTTGCCAAAGGCCTCACCACTAGTCATTGATAAAACTAGGGTTTGATTTCAAAGACTCTGGGCTCCAGATTCTGTTCTAACCACTATGCTGCATCCTATCTCTATATTGTACAAGAGAAACGATGTGGATATTATTTTACTGTGATTGAGCAGAGCTCCCTAGAAATAGGTAATAGAAGAAATGGCAAAGTTATGGGGACCATGCCATGTGTGAAGCTCCCTTCTTGGTCCTTGACTCATTGTATTGGATAGGACATAAAAATAATAGTGTAAAAAAGATACGGGTCTATTTTTCTTTTATGTAAATTAAGTCTGTAGTGAGGCATTCTATGACTGCCACGGTGGCTCCATGCTCATCAAAGACTTGGGCTCCTTCCACTTTCTATTATCCTATCTCTAAGAGTATGGGCCTTATCCTTATGATGCAAGATAGCTGCTAGAACTTCAGCCATCACACCAACATTCCAAGCATCAGGATTGAATAAGGGTCCAAGAAGGGCATGCTGTTTTCCTTAAAAGAAGTTTCTCAAAAGTTCTGCCCAACACTTTTATTTACATATTACTGGACATAACTTAGTGACATAGTTACTCCTTACTATAAAAAAGGATAAATAATGTAGTCTTTTACTACATATGGCATGAGTTCTATCTGAAAGTCAGGGGTCTCTTATAGTAAGTAGGAAAAGGAGATTCTCTAGCATATTGATTCATTTATCTTGTACTTTTATGTCTTTACAGTGACTACAGGTATGTGGCAGCTGCTCTGGCTGTCATGAGAAATGTGACTCAGCAGATCAATGAACGCAAGCGGCGTTTGGAGAATATCGACAAGATTGCCCAGTGGCAGGCCTCTGTCCTAGACTGGGAGGTAGGCTCTTTACCAACAGGGACATTGAGGAGTCTGAATAGCTTAGCCAGAACTTCCCATAGTCAAGAATGGGAAAGAGGAATTAGATTTGAAGAGCAGCAGGAAGAATTTAGATTAGAGCCAAGGCAAAACTTCCTGCTAATGAAAGGTGTGTACTTGAATAGCTTTTGGAGAAGGTTAGAGAAATCTTTGTGGCAATACTTATTTGAGAAAGGAAAGGTTCATCTTTTTGGGTATTGCCAAGAAACAATTGGGTTCACTTAGTAGCCTGTGAGAGCTCTTTCAAGTCCTAGAATTTCATCACTACCAGATAAGGAGTACTATGTGCTAATTCACTCCCAAACAAGGTTTGTTCTCTGGTACAGGCCAGCCAACACACTTTTTTACCTCTTAGTGGGATCACCTCACCCTGCCGCATCTACTAGATCTACCTAAGCCTACACACTTCAGGCCATGACCATCATCCCTGCCAAACTGACAGACCAAAATCTGTTTTTTATCATCTGCTTATAAAAATAATCCCTGAGAGCCCTCTAGTCCATTGGAAATAGCCCCAACTTCTCTGAACTCAGAAAGTCTTCAGTAGCTGAAGTCACTAAAGCCTCCTCTTCCTAGGTGTTCACTTAGAGGATATATACAACTTAACAAATAAATAGAGATTTTTGCCTCTGTTGGGGTTCCTGAGGTTTCTGATCAATAGAAATAGGTGTGAATGATAAGGGTTTGCAGATACCAGTGTGTTGACTATGCTCTTTAGTGATTTTTTTCCCTGTGCCCACCAAGAGAACCAAGAGTAACGATGTTTCACATTTACCTTTCATTCCCAAGTTGCAATATCTGACAATCCACAAGCTAACATAACCAAAATGAGAGAGGCTAGACATGCTACTAGGGAAGTGGCAGCAATCTTAAGCCTCATGGTCACAGCATAGAAGTTGAGCCAGCTCCCCAGTCTACTGGCTGCAAATCAGGCACTGTTTCTTGTCATTGAAAGGTAGTATTTCTCTAACATTTCAAGCAGTTTAGTACATTCCAAGGGAATTATTCATCAGCCTTACAAATAGCTACTTAAACAAGGTCCAGAAAAAAAAATCTTTCCTTTATTCTACTGCCTCTGTTCCTCCTTAGTGTAAATAGCCAGAAAAGACCACAATTCTGAGCAGCTGGAATATTTTTGAGTTTTATTTGAAGGATAATGTCCATATACAGAGTAGAAAACAGCAGAGGTTCTTTGAGATGCAGAGAAAGGAATGCATCTGTGTAAAGAGATCCTCTTGGGCTTAAGAGGAAGCCAGCACTGACCCAGACTTATTAGGAAATCATGGCTTCTCTTTTCTTTGTGTCTGGTTTGCTTTGCCTAGTTGCCTGATCAGAGGGAGATGAGTAGACAAAATACCTCTAACAAGCCCATCAACTCTAAGGAACTCCAAAATTGTGGCTGGTTAGCAGACTTCTTTTACTCTACCCTGGCAAGGTTCTCTATGAGAAGAGATTCCCAAGAGCATTTGTCTTCCTATTTCCCGGAACATCTTTCCCCTTCCCAAAGCCTGGAAGATCTAATTCCTTCATGTGCTCTGGGCCTCCATCCCTGTAGCTAGGGTCATTGAGGACCAAGAATAGCTTTAAATTCCTTGGCATATCTGGGAAGCTTGATTAACACCAAACTCAAAGGCAGTGAGCTATAGTTTAATGAATCTGCATCTCAGGAGGAATTTCATGTGTTTTTGTCTAGGGGTGAAGGGTGGAAAACAAAAGGGTAATTCTGAGCCAGAATTGATAGGAGAACACTTGATCTCTGCCTCCTTCATTAGCATTATTGCTTGGTTCTGTAATCCAGGGGTCCCCAACTCCCGGGCCGCAGACTGGTACTGGTCCGTGACCTGTTAGGAACAGGGCTATATAGCAGGAGGTGAGTGCTTCATCTGTATTTGCCGTCACTCCCCAGTGCTAGCATCACCACCTCAGCTCCATCTCAGATCATCAGGCATTAGATTTTCATAGGGTCATTGGTCCCTGGTGCCAAAAAGTTTGGGGACCATTACTGTAATCTCATCCAAGCCCACACCTCCCTGGCACCCTCCTGCTTGTGAAGTCAGTCTTCATCTACGTTGGTAAGCAGAAAAAATTCTTATGATTCTCTTTTCAGACTCTGGGGTCACTGTGGAACTTATCAACTCCAGAGGAGTTGCCCTTTAGAAAGCCTTTTCTCCAACAAGGCCTAATGGATGCATTCCAGAAGCCTAGGTCTAAAGTGGCTGTAATGTTTGCCACTTCTATTCTTAAAGAGTTCTAGAATGTCAAGTTCACCAAAACAATTAGAAGACCATCCCCCCTGCCCTACCCAATAACAACCTTGGCCAGGTTCATGCGCATATGTATGCACACACATGCACACTTTCTGATGATAGTGGAAGTCATAGAATAGAAGCCTATCCTTGACTAAGTTCACACAGCAAATCTATGACAAAACTAAAACTTCAATATTGTCTCCAGATTTCCTGTGTGATGTTCTTTTCACTGATGAACTACATAGTCTTCCAACCTTCTTCGTCTTGCAGGCCAATTGCTTTTCTTTGTGATACTACTGCAGGGACTTGTTTTTGCTATAAAGGGTCCTTATCTTAGTGAGACAGTAAGACTGCCTTGGGGAGAATATCCAAATCATATAAAGCTAAAGGTACATGAGTGCTGGGGGCAGGGTTCTCCCCCAGAAAGCAATAGAACATGCCTCTACTCCATGACTTACTGGTTCTTGGCATAGGTGACCCAACCTCGTTGGTTCCCTGGTATAAGCTCTTTGTATGTTCCACCTGCCCAAGCAATTGAGCAGACAGAGAGAGGTCCTGTCAAGCTTGCCGAAGGCTGCTGTGGACAAGCCTTGCAAATCAAGAAAATGAAGCAGTACTTTGCTGTCTCTGCCACTCCTTTGCATCCTCCACATGTTTGAACAAACAGGGTGGCTGTCAAAAGCATCCACATAATAATTTCAGTTTAATTTATCCAATCAAAAAGAGGAGTCATAGGGGAAACCTACAAAGCTGAATCTCCCTCATAGAGGAATTGGGAAAGAGAGTGGAGATTTGGTGGCACATAGACTATTGGTGCCTGCTCAATAAATAAGAGCACCTGGCTAGAGAGCAGGAGGTCTTGTATTATATCCAGACTTTACCCTCCCTCAACTTATTCCATGAACATTCTGGATCATTTTTCCCAACTCCAGTTACCAACCCTGCTTCCTACCAGCCTATAGGGACTAGAGTTCATGAAGTACCTCTACCCTCTGCTCTGTCCCACCCCCCAGGACTCCTGAAAAATAAATGGATGAGTAAAAGTGTCACCCATACCTCTAAGTAATAATACCTTAGAGCAGTTTAAGGGAAGAGCAGGGAGAAGAGCCTGTTCCTCAGGACAGCAGTTTCTGTTGAATTTCCATTTCTAATTTCTCTGATACTGACGTTTGGTTGAGCTGTCACTTTGTCACCCTTTACACTCATTAGATACACTTGATATCTTTCTTCTTTTTTTTTCCTCGAGATTTTTACCAGGATTTTACCAAATGTTCTTCTTTAGGAACTTAATTGTGTGTGATTGTGATTTCCTCCTAATGGCACCCCTCCCCTCAACCTGGTTGTATAATACCTACGGGCCTGGTCCACTTTACCATTGGATGATTTAATTCAAAGAAGTTGGAAGATACACAAAAACCCAACATGATGGAGGCAGCAAAAGCATCTATTTAAAGGTGGCTTAATGAAGTATGCTCAAGGGACTAGGAGATCAAATGTGGAGCTGGATGGATTTATTATTTTTTTGCCCTCCTGTCAGTAAGCAGCATTGAAAATAAACTGTATGAAAAAGATGGCATTTCCATTGTTCTTTTTTTTTTTTTTTCTCTGATTCTGTTCAGGCCACAACCACACATCAGATAACCAGCCTGTAATCAGAACGAGGTGTTGGATATAGGGATTTTGAGATGAATGGAATGTGGTCTTGCCTACCTAGTGGTGGCAAATATGTTCCAGACAGAGGGAACAGTGTGAGCAAAAATGCTGAAAGAAAAGAAGAGAACAGAAGGCTAATGTGGAGAGGTTAGTGGGAAGGGATTGCACTTTTTGAGACAAGGCAAAGAAACATGTGCAAGTGGAACAGAGGAGGCAAAGGATGAGAGCTCTGAACTCTGAGAAGACTTTTTCCTTCACATAAACTGGTTTCATTCTCTCAATCAGCCATACGAGGCGAGCCAAACAGGAACCATTGTATTATCCCCATTGTCCATATAAAGAATCAGATTGAAAGTGGTTCAGCTATTTCCCACTGGTGCAGAGTAAGTTGGTAGCAGCAATGGGTCCAGAACCCAAGTCTTCTGAGATCCTCCCTTCAGAAATTTTCCAAGTCAGCTGGTTGCTGTATTAAGGGATCATCATTCTACTGTGGTTTGGTGGTTTAGAGCGTGGACTTGGGAGAGAGTCTGGCCTGGATTCAGCCACTTTGAGACAATTACTTCCAATTTCTCTGACCTTGGTTTTGGTAGTAATAACAGTACATTCCCTATTGTGTTATTGCGAGTATGAATAGGAACATGTAGCACAGGATATAGGGTACAAAGTAATAGTCAAGATGCTAACTATCACTTAGGTAGAGCTTACAGTGTGATGTACATTTTTCTAAGCACTTTATATGTGTTAATTTATATAACCTTTACAATAGCCAAATGAGGTTGGTGCTACTTTTATCTTCAGTTTAAAGATGAGGAAACTGAGAAACAGAGGCTGTATGAGCTGCCTGACATCAATCATTAGCCAGCTTGGTGAGCATAGGGGATGTATTTTTTCAAGTTTTTGTTTGTTCGTTTTGCTTGATGGAGTTACTTGTGGCAACAAGTACTTAAAATAGAATTGGGCTACTCTTGGCTGGTGCAATGGTTGTACCATATCACACTGAATAATCCTTCTGTCTGAACATTCTCAGTTTAGCGAGTGGTGCCTCTAAAACTAATCTTAGCCATATTTCTGTGGCATTTGTATCTCCCCTCTTTATAGTTTTATTTCACTTCATACTTATTCAGAATGAACGGTGGCACATCTTTCTGGCCTACCTCAGGGTGGGACACAGCAGACTGATACCACTCTCACTTTTACATTCCTCCCAAGAGGA